GCTTAAAACAGTCTCACCAGTAGGAAGAACCCACTGAGCAGGTCGGCCAGTCTCCAGAGTGCATGGGAGGAAGGGGAGGAGGAGGAGGAGGAGTCTGCAGCATGACCTTTTACCTTCCCCTTAAACCCCCCCCTCCTCACGGCCACCCCAGTTCACCACTAACGCTGGTTCACGTGCCTCACCCTGAGGTTACTGTACGAGGCCCTGTCCATCCCTCGAATCCTTCCCCTTTCATTCTGTTCCCATTGGCATCCCTGACAGAGGCCACCATTAACACTCACTGGGACTCTTCCAAGTCTCCCAACAAGTCTCCCCACCTCTGTCCACTCTTACCCTCCAACTCAATCTCCTTCCCATGTTGTCAGAACAATGTTTTGTACACACAGAGGCAGCTCGGTGGTGCAGTGCAGAGCACCGGGCCTGGAGTCAGGAAGACCTGAGTTCAAATCTGGCTTCAGACACCTCCTAGCTGGCTGGCCCCGGGCAAGCCACCGAACCTGTGATTGCCTTAATACGCTGGAGAAGAAGATGGCAACCACTCCGGTAACTCTGCCAAGAAATCCCCACAGATGGTACTGGTGTGCCACGGTCCCCCGGGCCGTGAAGAGGTGGACGTGACTGAACACGAAACTGTTCTTTTCATTCACCTGCTCAGAAAAATCTCCTCTGCTCGCTGAGTAATCAACCAACCGATAAAAGACATCCTATCAAGTGCCTGCTGCATGCCAGGCACTGTGCATGATACACAGGAAGTCACAACGGAGGGAGGGAGGGCACTGGCATGGTGGGATTGTAGCTGGGACTTGAGGAAGCCAAGAGATGAGGAGAGGGAGAAGAGCATTCCGGGCATGGGGAACAGCCAGGGAGAATGGCCAGGGCCGGGGGTGGAGGGCCTTGTTCACAGAACAAACAGCGCTCCAGCTCCCCGAAAGGTCTTATCTTTCCAGCCTCATCCCACCATACTCCCCTCTGTGCTGCCCTGGACAAATCCATTTGCTTTTTGGAGGTACCACAAGCCTGCCTGCCCTAAGCCTTTGCTCCGACTTTACCTAGAATGGGAATCTTCTCCCTCACTCCCTCCCTCCTTTTTTTGCCCCTGAGTTTCCCCAAACTTTAAAGACCACCACAGGTGCCGTCTCTTCCATCACACCTGGCCTGACCCAGCAGTCGATGACGACCCCTCTCCCCACCACAGACTTCACGGAGCACTGAAGTTCTGCACTTTCTGACGCTCAGGACGCATTCGTCACGGACTCTGGGAGCTTGCAGACGACCCTCACTTAGGGTCACGCAGAGGGCTGCTTGGCAAACCCCTGGACGTCCTCTGAGGTGCCTTCTATGTTCTGGGATGCGGTGAGTCTGTGCTGGAGGTCCACCGGGGAGCTGACTTGTATAAAAACACATCACTCCCCTAGGACACGCCTGAAGAGGCGAATGAGGCGCAGACAGCCCGAACCAGTGTGGATGTGGAGGGTCCTCAGAGGCCCCCTACTCCTACACCTTCCACTCACTGATGAGGAGATGGATGCCCAGGGAAATCAAAGACCTGCCCGAGGCCACGCCACTTGTGGTTAAGTCAGAGGAGGGACTGGAAGAGAGGTCCTACAACCGACTCCAGCACTCTTTCCAACAAAACGTTACTCTGCCTCACAAATCTAATTGGCGCACAGGTCAAGACGCTACCTCGTGATGTCATCGGTCTTCTCTGAGAACGAAGGAGGAGCCGCAGCAGCAGCAGCGTTGTCATTAAGAAACGACGACTGGGAACAACACAGAGAAACGTGGGGCAGCCCAGAAACTGAAGCAGCGCGCACAGAAGCAAGGAGCGGCCACATGCGATGACAGACATACGAAAGGAAACAACCCCTCCAAAGCTGATGGCCGCGTAATGACGGAATTACCCTCATAACGGTCAAGCTCGTCCCCAAAGAAGGGAAGGGATAACGTGCCGCCTTTCCTTCTTTACAGAGGTGGCGGACTACAGGTGCACAACGCTGCATATGCTGTCAAATCTGGCTGATGCCTTGCTTAGCTTTCCTGAACTGCTTCTTTTTTATTTTTATCTTTTTTTAGGTGAGGTGATTGAGTTAAATGACTCGCCCAAGGTCACACAGCTAGTAAGTATCAAGTGTTTGGTCAGAGGCCAGATGTGAACTCAGGTCCTCCTGACTCCCTGGCCAGGGCTCTATCCACTGCGCCACCTAGCTGCCCCCTTCCCCTTCTTCTCAATTTTTTCGTTACAAGGGATGACTCTGTGGTGAGGAAAGGATATGGAAATGAAGGTGATTAAAAACAAATCAATAAATTAAACACAAAACAGACATGTAAAAGAGTGTGTGTGTGTGTGTGTGTGCACGTGCAGGGGGGTTTGTACACAATTGTCACACGCACACGACGCCCATAAAACAGAGTGGCTCATAAGCTTTCAAAGAACAAGGACAAACCATGGTTAGGCATTTCTCTCCCCCACTTCCATACTCGATGGACGGCTGAAAACAGAGGCCTGAAAAAAAGGACCGCTCCAAGTCCTGGGTCTTCGCTGCTACTCCATCCTGAAAATCACATCCAGAAAGACGCCTTTGGAAGCGGCTTCTGACGGTGGGGGCTGGGCGTGGGCCTCGCCTGAAGGCATCACCTTCTTCATAAGAGAAGATGGCCAGCCCTAAGGGCACCGACCGCTCAGGGTTGCTGTGAGGACCGAGTGGGATGTTAGCAGAGGGCTCAGCACAGAAGGCGCTTCTTTCCCCCGTTCCCCCCAGTTCCGCTGGGACAAACACACTGACTCCACTCTCATGGCCTGTTATGATTAGGCAGGGCTTAAGGAAACCCGCTCTGTCTGCCCAGCAGGAGCAGTGTGGCCTCCCTGCCAGAGGCAGAGGCTGGGAACCAGGGACTGGCGGAGCTAATCCCAGCTTTGTCACTGACAAGCTACAAGCCTGGCATTAAGTGTCTCCACTCAGTTTCTTAATCTGCAAAAATGGGGCTAACAATGCCCACCTACTTCACAGGGATCTCGGGAGAATTAACAAATTAACACCTGCAAAACGCTTTGAAAATATGGAGCCCTGGATGGAGAGGGAGGCCAAGATGAAGCCACTGTGTTATTATACTAAGTGCTGACGCTCACGGCAGCTCGTGGCCCCACAGACTGGGAAGTGGTCGGATGAAAGAGTCAATGATCAGAAAAATGTGTAACTAACAACACTCCAAAAATTCTTAGTGTCTCTGGGGTGAGTCACGGAAGGACCTGGTGGCGCTTGGGCTCTGGTCACTCCTGCTGGCTGCACCGCTGTCTCTACTGACTGAGCCTGTGAGGGAACAGTCTGTCACTGTTGTCATCATCGAGCTTTTACTACATGCCTTACGCATACTTGGTATAATTTGGTCTTGCCCTCCAGGCGTTATCGCAGAGAGGTGGGATGAGGGGCCTCCAGACAGACCAGAAGACTCCCCAAACTTCCGTCCTGGGTGTGTTCAGTATGGCGCTCCCTCTACTGGGGGAGACGCCAACCCCTCCGTGCTTAGGCTGATGATGGCTTCTCGAGCTGCTGTGGCTGACCTTCCAGTGATGAGCCTCCCCTCCCTTATCTGCTCTCTCTCCTCATTTAGCCTGGTCACTCAGACTACAACCCCCATGGTTTATTTAGGGCCCACACTCAAAGCCTTCCCAGCTTGGTAGCACCAACCAGAAGCCGCTAATGCATTTCCAGAACCAATGGTAGTCTAGAGTTGCCACCACACCATCGCGGAGGTATTGAAACAGAAGGTCCACAGGGGTGCCATTCATTACTCACAACAAATGAATAATTTTAAGCCACACCATGGATTGGGTGAAATACACATAGCTTTGTGATGCCATCAAAGGGTTCTCTGTCTTCTTAAGAGTCGCTGGAACCCTAAGGATCACTTCACCTCTGGGCCTCAGTTTCCTCATCTTAAAGAGAAGAAATCTTAAAATAGAATCTAAGACCCCTTACAAGAGAAGATCCCTTCTCTTCCCAATGATCCTGTTCCTATCAGGGGCACTGCCATCCTCCCAGCCTAGGGTCAGTCAACAAGCATCTACTATGTTTTCTCTGTGCCAGTCACTGGGGATATAGAGAAAGGCAAAAACAAAATAACCCATTCCCACCCCGTCTCTGCGCTACAAAACCAGGCATCCTAACAGAGACGACACGTAAAAATCCAGTTACCTACAAGTTACATGTAGTGTGAGGTATCCCTCGCTGCTCCCCCCCCCATGCTCAGTCAGTGGCCAAATCTTGTCATCTCTCCCTTCCCCACATCTCTCATACACACCCCTGCCCCCACTCACACGCCATCCCACAGGGTGGCCCCTGTCATCTCATACTGCACTGCTGCAGTATTTTCAATCCTGAATTCTCTCCCTCTCATCTCCCCTTCTCTTACCCACTGAGAAAAAAACAAAATCTGTTACAAATACACACAGTCATGTAACACAAATAGAAGCCCTAACCTTTTATGTGCTAAGGTCCTGCCTAGCCCTGACATTCTAGGATTTAAAGCCCCTCCCAGCTCTGACATCTCCTGTTCTAAGGGTCCTCCCAGCTCTGATGTCCCCTGTTCTAAGGGTCCTCCCAGCTCTGATGTCCCCTGTTCTAAGGCCCCTTCCAGCTCTGACATCCCCTGTTCTAAGGCCCTTCCCAGCTCTGACATCCTCTGTTCTAAAGTCCTTTCTCAGTCTTCATACTCTGTTCTAAGGGCCCGTCCTATTTCTCAATCAATAATCAATCAATGAACACTTACTACATAGTAGCTACATACAAGAAATGTACTAGGCACAGGGGATAAGTTTAAAGAATGAATCAATTTTTGTTCATAAGGAGTTCTCATTCTAATGGGGAATGTCAACAAATCCACACATAAGCACCACTTCTTTCTTTTTTTTTGCTTTTTGGTGAGGCAATCAGGGCTAAGTGACTTGCCCAGGGTCACACAGCTAGTAAGTGTCACGTAAGCATCAAGTATCTGAGGCTGGATTTGAACTCGGGTCCTCCAGACTCCAAGGCTGGAGCTCTATCCACTACGCCACCGAGCTGCCCCTTGAACTATTTCTTAAAGAGAGCGACTCTTGGAGAGGAAGAGGACAGGAGGGAGGGCTTTCCAGGGCATGGGGCAAAGGCCCACAGGTGGGTGAGGGTGGAGCATTGTGTTGGAGAAGCAGACAGGAGGCCACTTCAACTGGTGCCCAGAGTGTGGGAAGGAAAGTCATGTCCAACAAGGCTGGAAAGGCTGGTGGCCATCCCTCATTCTGGAAGAGGATCAAAATGACATCCCTGTGCTAGACTGGAGTCACAATGTGTCCAACCGTGGCTGATCAGACCAGTACAAGCTTGGAATGCTCTACCCCAGGTCGGGCACAAACAGTCTGTGTGAACACATGGGTGGATTCTCTAAATCTGCGCAGTTCATGTTTCTCCTGAGCTACTTCCATTCTGCTCTGCTCACAGAGCTCAGCACCTTCTCTGATGTGGGCGGTGCTGTGCCAGTGTCTCCCGTGTCACACGATCAATTCAAAGTTTGTAAGAGAGGCCTGGAGAGTGTCAAGGGACTCGGTTGAAAGGACTTTAAAAGTTAAGTTTACATTGCATCCAGAGTCAATGAGAAGCCTCTGGAGTTGAGTGGGGGAGTGGGCTTCCATGGTTGGGTCTGCTCTTACAGAAAATCACTTTGGCATAAATGTGTAGGATGGACTGGAGAAAGGGGAGAACTGAGGCAGGGAGACCAAAGAGGAGGCTGTTGCAACACTCTGGGAGAGAGGCAATGAGGGTCTGACAAGAGACGGTAGAAACAGGGACAGTCTGTGCGAAAGAGGCAGCGTTTGTGCTCTTCTCTCTGTCTGCCATGCTCAGAATGTCACCGGCGCCTGGTGAGCATTTGTGACTGACGAGTCTTCCTGGTTCTACTTCAGAGCTCCAGACTCTGGGCCATGTGGCCTACTGGTTGCTTCCTCAGATTCCTTCTGTCTCCAAGGTAGGCCGACATTCCCAGAGGGTGTGCAGACAATACCATGCTGGGAGGGAGCTGACACAGTGCGAGACAGAAGCTTGGGTCACGTTGATCAAGCTGGCATTCTGTAGGGATAAAGAGAAATTTTATATTTGGGCTAAGAAAAGGCCAGTTCTAAGTCAAGAGAAGGAAAGCACACACGGGCAGCCAGCTGACAAAGGGGACAAGCCTGGGTTCTGGTACATGCCAAGTCCAGAGCTGATGTTGCGCTGAGGCTGTCCAGAGAGTTCCTGGGTCTCAGTGTGTATTATGAGGGGCCAGGAGGTCAGACAATGTCACTGTGCTGGCTTTGGTTCTGGGCATGATGTTCCAGGCAGGCACTGAGGAGCCAGAGAGCCTCTAGGCGCGGTAAAAGGTCCTGAGACTGTGCCATCGAAGTCTACTTACCCTGGAGAAGAGACCTGGGCAGACACAGATGAAGTGCCTGCAAGCACTGGGAGGGCCGACTTGTGGAAGACCTGCTCTTAGGACTCTTGGTCTGCTAGGATGTGGGAGGAAGGGGGCATTCTTCTCAGGAATGATTTGGACTCAGAGGTCCCTTTAAACTCCGCGATTCTATGAAAGCAAATTCCTGCCTCTTCAGCTTGGTGTTTCCATGGCCTCCAAGCCCATGTACAATGGAGGCTGCTCGCTTCTGGCCTCCCAGTGGCTGGGCTTGCTGGCAGCTTACCTTCTGTCTCCGTGGAGCTTGAATGTCGTATTTGTGTATTTATTTTTAAACTAGCCATCGTGGCTGCTGTTTTAAGTTAGGAAGGTACAGCATGCCATTCCTCGTTTGCATCAAGAGGTGCTGAAGTCCACAGAGGTCAGACAGGCCCTGCCTCTGGTGCCCCAGGGCCAGAGCCCGAGGCTGATGGGGTGGGGTGGGGGAAGGGTCTGATGATCACTTGAGAACCTAAAAATACAGAGAATCTAAACGTGAACATTATTTAAGGCTGGTGAGCATTGCCACAAGTACGGAAGGGGAAGGAACAGGGTCTGGTCACCACCTGTACTTGACTGTAAGCTGTTCCCCTATCTCAGCTTTCTTTTCCTTCGAAAGCAAACTGCTGTTGAAGAGCTGCTGACGAGGGGTTTGCCGTCCAACTATGGAGGCAGCTCGGGACATGATGACGCCTCAGCTTGCTCACATCCGAATAGAGGCAGCAGCTTTCAGCATGAAGATGTCTCCGCTTGGGAACTGTGAGGAGGGCTCGGAGGTGAGAGCAGAGGGGAGCTATTATCACTTCGGAGCCCCTGTCCAGGGAGGCCGACCTGGAACGGAGGGGAAGGGGTCACCAAGTGGCTTTCAGACCCAAGCATTACCTCAGGTACTCGGAATGTACAGTCATGAGAACGACCCATCTGGTTTGGATTTACAAGCGCACTCGTAGAAAAAGAAAAAAATCATCTGTGCCTTTTGCTAGTTCTCCTCCTTGGAGAGGCAGAGGCCCGTTTCTTCTTCTCATCTTACAGAGACAGTCAGGGACGAGTGGTCACCGTGAGAGACTCTCCAAGGCGGGTCAGAGCTGCTCCTCCTGAGTACTCTGGGGGCCCTAAAGAGCCCCATCCACAGTCCTGGGCGGCGAGCAAGCTCGCTCTTCCTCCACGAGCTCAGTAGAATGTCCACGTCTCCTCCTCCTTCCATCAGGGCAGATAGCAGCCCCCTCACACCTCCACACTCTGTGGGATTCATGTCCAAATCCTTTCTACAGCAGGGCCGTGAAACAAGCTAGAGACCTTCTCTTCCTTGGATTTTTTTTTTCTTTACACTATTTTATGGATACTGGTACCACAGTCAGGCTGTCCATCTGTTATCCTTCATCATTTAAAAAAATAAGTTTCAATTCCTTATGTTTTTCCATCACAGTTATTTATAGAAATAATCTCCTTTCCCTCAAAAAAGAACACTCCCTTACAAAAAGAGTAAAGTAAAAGTACATGCTACAGTGACTGTCAGCATCCTGCTGAGAGAGAGAGAATGGGTGACTATGTGCACCTCAGGGTCATTTAGGATTTTTCAGTTGCTCAGAATTCCCTTTTCTTTGAGTGATCTTTTCATTTACACTATGGCAGTCACCATATATGCTGTCCTTATGGTTCTGCGTATTTAACTCTGCATCAGTTCATACACATTTCCTGAAGGTTTTCTGTCATTCCTCATGCCTGGCTGCGTGACTGGCTGGTTTACCTCGTTTTCTGGTTGTGTGTCTTTGATGACGTCTACTTCACAGAAATCTATTTTCTCTCTTTCTTGCCCATTAGGGAAAAAAAGAAAAGCAAATTGCTTGTAATAAATATGCCTAGTGCAGCAAAGCAAATTCCCTCATTGGCCACGTTAAAAAAAAACACACGTCTCATTCTGAAGACTGAACCCATCGCCTGTTGGGATGCGGGTGGTTAAGTTTCGTGGTCAGTGCTCTGCAACAGTGGGTGGTCACTGCTGACCACGGTTCCCGCGGCCTTGAGAACGGCTTATCTTGAGTGACGTTGTTACCACGTGACTTGGTTCTGGTTCTATCTAGTTCTACTCCCTTCTTCATTAGTTCAGAAATGTCTTCAGAACGGTTCCTTTTCGTAATGTTGATGCTATAGTATAAATTGTTTTTCTGGGGCCCCTTACTTCATTCTGCACCAATCAATAAAAGTTTTCCACGTCTCCCTAAAATAACTTACTTCTTCATTTCTTACAGCATAAGAGTATTCGTCATATTCCTATCCCTCGATCTGTTTAGTCATTCCCCAACTCATAGGCAACCCCTTAAGCTTCCATTTTGGCCGCCACATAAGGCGTTGCTCTTCTGGGCAGAGGCAGACCCAGCAGGGGGATAACTGGGCCAAAAGGCCTGCACCGTTTAGTCACTATGTAAATACGGTCCCCTCCAATTTGCTTTCCAAAGTATTTGTACCTATCAGCGGCTCCACCAACAAGTCATCAACATGCCTGTTTTTCCACAGCCGCTCCAACACTTGTCACCGTCGCCAATGTGATGGGGGCCATCTCTAATCGTCCTGATTCATATCTGGCCACTGGACCCAGATGGCTCTGGAGGAGAAAGTGAGGCTGGTGACTTTGCACAGCCCTGCCTCACTTAAATCCAATTCACTTGCAAGTCATAGCATCACCTTCCTGCTGTCACGGTCCTTTTAGAGAAGGAAGGACAAACAATAACAACAGCCAATGTGATAGAACCTCAGAACTGCTTTAATTTACATTTCTCTAAGTAGTGATTTGGAAAATGTTTTCACATGGCTTTGGGTTTCTTCTCTTGAAAACTACCTATTCATATTCTTAGACTATTTATTGGTTGGGAAATCGCTCTTATTCTTATAAATTGGAAGCAGTTCCTTATATATCTTGGAAATGTGACCTTTATTAAAGAAATTTACAGCAAAGATTCTTTTCAGTTAATTATTTCTCTTTTAATGTTAATTTTCTTAGATTTGTACAGAACTCTTAACTTTTATTACTGACAATTATTATTTTATTGCTAAATAAAATTACCCAGTTTTTCTTTTGTGACCCTCTCTTTTCATCTATTCATAGCTATGGTAGGTATTTTTTTCCATGTTTCTCTAATTTGTTTATGTGGCCTTTTATGTCTAGCTCATGTATCCATTTGGACTCATTTTGGTATAAGGTATGAAGCTGTTGGTCTAAATCCAATTACTTCTACATTGCTATACAATTTGTGAAAGCCACGGGCTAGCACTATATATAACAGAGATAAACTGGAATCCCTTCCAAGGTAGCTTGGTGGTGCAGTGGATAGAATACTGGGCCTGGGGAAGACTCATCTTCCCGAGTTCAAATCTGGACTCAGATACTTGCTTTTTGATCCTGGGCAGGTCACTTAACCCTGTCTGCCTCAGTTTCCTTGTCTGAAAAATGAACTGGAAAAGGAAATGGCAAATCATTCTAGGATCAAATGAACAACAAAAATCCTGTCCAATAAAATCAGAGGTGAAACAAAGATGTTTACTATCACCACTTGTCTTTGACATAGTACCAGAAATGCCTGCTGCAGCAAGAAGACATGAAAAGGACGCTGAGGGAGCAGCACCAGCAAAGAGGAAAGAAGGCAATGCACTGATGGAATCTTGGGGAGTCAACTAAAAATCAGACACAACAAATAACTTCGGCCAACCTGCACAAATAGTCATCAGCACTTCCATGAAATGTCCATAAAACCCAGCAGGAAGAGAGGGAATGAGAAATAAGACTTTAAATAACTACAGAATAAAGAAGTCCTCGAATAGAGGAGTTAAATCCTTGGGAGGCAGCCTATTAAGATACACACAACAAGCCACTGTTTTCAGAAATACAGACAGACCTAAATAACTGGAAAAATATCAATTCTTCCTGGGTAGGTAGGATAAGTCAATATAACAACAATGATAACATGACCTGAATTAATTTACTTGTTCAGGGCCATACTGATCATGCTCCCAGAGGATTGCTGTGTAGATCTGTTGGTGACTGGGGGATTGGTTCCATATTTTTCAGCAAATCATCTGAAGAAAAATGCTACTTAAAAAGCTGGGTGTGTAACAGCTGCAAACATTTCAGTATCACTAAACTGAGTGGTTTCTCCCAGGGGATGTGGCCTGCCCTAGTCTCCTTTTTAATCTGGGGTCCATCTTCCTGGCTTGCCCAAGATACAACGGTAGAGACTGGCTCGGTGGGCTGCTCTGGTCAAGAAACAACACCAAGGCACAGCTCGCCAACAGACACTCCTTCCCCAAAGGCCTGGACCTTCCTCAAACCTTAGAACATGAAGACGCTCACTCCTTTAGAGGTGGGCTTCCAACCTGACGTTAAGACGCATGGGATCGACTTTCCTCATTTCTCTTGCTCGGGCCCCTCCTGGCCAACCCTGCGCAGCAGAGTTGGTCCCAGCGTCTGCTGACGGGGGCCCCCTGCACCGCCTTGAAAGCCGCCTTTCCCCTTTAATGTTCCCCGATGATGGGAGAGGCCCCTCGCAAGGCCCGTCCACACACATTTCTCTGACAACCTTCCCTTGGCAGACTCTGCCTCGGCCCTTCTGGTTTGACTTTTAAATTCATTAATGCATTACAACTTCAGCCCTGCGCTAGGACGGGCACTATAAATTTCAGGTTTAAGTTCGAGCAGCTGTTGGTCCCCACTTCAAGCTGGTGCAAGAGAGGAAAGCAGAGCGAGCCTAAGCAGGAGGGGCTGGCTGGCCAGAGGCTCTCTCCTGATGCTGCTGTCTGGGGACAAGGAAGAGCACAGCGGGAGGACGCTCTCTTTGAAGAAATCTCGGTCTCTAGCTCCTCTGCAGTTGCAGGGCTTAGGCTGGAAGGATCTCAGAAGGATCTCACCCTTTGAGATGAGAAGGCCGAGGGCGAGAGAGGGGCAGACACGGGTCAGCAGCGTAGAGCCAGGCTGGGATTCAAACTCGGCTCCTTGGACTCCGAGTCAAAGGCTCTCTCCACTGCCTGACGACGATGACGCCTAACACGAACACAGCACCTACTCTGTGCCAGGCCCCTTAATAACGACAACATTAATGACAGCTAAGACGTACGTAGTGCCCACTGTGGGCCAGCCGGAAGGCGTGTGACTGACTGTGCACTGGCAGGAAGCATTCGCTCGGCGTTCCTCACGCAAAGGGCACTGGGCCAGGCACCAGACGGTAAAGACAAAAGAGAAAGCTGTGCCTGCCCTGGGGAAGCTTACAGTCCCCCAGGGCTAACACGCAGACACAGATGACAATCAGAACACCCAAAGCTGGACCCCAGATCTCCTCAATGCAGGAAGCTCCTGGGGACGACGGCTGGACCGTCTTCTGCAATTTCTGGTCTCGCAGAGCTGTCTGGGTCCCGCCCTGAGAGGCTGAGATACCTCCACGCTGACCCAGGCAGTATATGTCAAAGGTGGGACTTGAACCCACATCTCTGAGGCCAGCTCCATCTCCACAGCGCCCCGCTGCCTCTCCCATTCACTTCTGTGTATGTCCAATGACTGAAGGAGGGCAAACACATGAACCACTGGGGGATCAGCCAGGGCTTCCTGGAGGAGGTGGCGTGAGCTGGGCCTTACAGGAAGCTGGGAATGGAGGAACTCTGACGTGTGACAGTGAGGATTCCAACTGTGACTGTGTGATTCTGCAAGCTTGAGGCGGGAGGCACATCCCTGGAGGCGAGAGGCGGAAGGAGGGAACCCCAAGTGTGATGAGAGGCCACGGAGGGGAGCGAGGGCTGACAGGGCCCGGTCTGGAGCCAGTTTTGGCGGAAGGTCTCTACGTCACTCCTGAGCCCACAGGGAGCCAGTGAAGACCCTCGAGCAGGGGAAGGACGCGCGGTTTTGGCAGCTGGGCTCAGAACGGCCCGGAGAGAGCAGACGCTGGGGGAGGGAGTCCGAGCAGGAGGAACTGGCACCAGCAGCGACAAGAGAAGACAACGGGCCCGAATCAGGGGGGACGGGGGAGGGAGGAGGACGTGAGACACAGACAAAGATGGGAGGGGGCAGCGCAGGAGACGCAAGGGTCAAGGGTGACGCCGAGGCTGCACGTTACCAAAGCAGGAGCGTTAGGAGGAGAGGTGGCTTTGGGAGAGAAGGTGAGTGAGTTGTCAATGCTTATGGGCATCTAGCTAAAGATAATGATGACAACAATCGGTTGTAACACCTGGCAGGTGGGTGTTATTTTTATCCTCATTTTACAGGGGAAGAGACTGAGGTGAACAGAGGTGAGGTGACTTGGCCAGGGTCACCAAGCCAGCACACGTGTGATGAGGGATCTGACTCCAAGTCCAGAGCTCTATCCACTACGCCACAATGCCTCACGAGAAATCAACGTCAGGAAAACCGAGGGAGGAGACATCTCCAGCTCGGGCGGCTATAGAGCCGAGGAGGGGTCACCAGAGTCAACAACCAGGAGCCCGATAACTGGCAGGAGTGCTCTCGGTCAGAGGCCACGAGGACTAATCAGGGAGGACATGCGGGGAGGTCTTCCTGGGGGAAAGCCCTGTACTAGGCTTCAGAGTCTAGCAAGGGCTTCCAGGTGGGGCTACCAGCACAAGCAAAGGCCAGGAGGGAGGAACACACAAGGCATAGGCAGAGGAGGTGAGACTAGCCTGGCTGGAGTAGTTTTGGGGAAAGTGCTGTCACATTGTGGACAGAGCCGGTACCCGGAGTCAGGAGGCCTGTGTTCAAATCTCAGCGCTGACAGACGGAGGCCGTGGGACATTAAGCAAGGCTCCTTCTCTTCCGGTCTCAATTTCCTCATCCCTAAGATGGGGACAGCTCTCCTCTACTTTCGCCACAGGGGATTTGTGAGGAAAGTGCTTTGCACCCTCAGAGCTTTAGCAGTATGAGTGCTCCCCATAACTATCATTGACCTCACCACCAGCACCGTTTGGGTGGAGGCGCAGTCCAGCGGGGAGCTTCCTCGTCCCCGGAGGTGTCTTAGGCAGAAGGGAAAGGTCAGTCAGAGGGCTTGGACTCGAATCTCCCTTGGCCAAGGCCCAGCCCCCTCAAGCCTCAGTTTCCTCACTGGGTCTCTTAGGCTTCCTCCCCCTCTGAATTCTAGGTTCCCATTGTTCTTCACTCAGGCCCACTGTTCTAGCTGGATTACATGAGATAGCATGTGCTTAGGAGGCCTGGTGCCCGGCACACAGTAGGTGCTTAATAAATGCTTATTCCCTTCCTTTCCCTCTCCTGAGCCCCTCTTCTCTCCTCTGAACCTCTGTTCCCTCTCTTCTTCCCCACCCTCATCTCTCCTCCGCCATCTTTCTTCTTTATTTGTCTGACTCCAGCTCAAGCCTTACCTGGTGGAGAAAGGCCTCCCTGCCCACCAGGGCTCCAACCAAGGGCCATGGCAAGCACCCTGCCCTACAGGTGACCGAGGTGGAAGACTGCTTCCTCCAATTACCAGCTGTTTAAGCCCTTCCCCGAGCCTGTTTCCTTCACAGAATGGGGAAAGTTAGCCTTGTCTATGCTACAGAAATGTAAGCATTGTAGTGGCAAGCCCCGGGATCTTGGCCAAATGAGGGCTGTACCCCGTGAGCTACCCCCATGCTCTCCCAACCTTGGCAACGGCTCCTCCTCTCCCCTCCTTTCTCGTCCCCTGCAGAGCCTCTTTGGTCCGTGGGATGGATGGAAGGATGGATGGGGCAAGGTAGAAGCTATGAGCACTCCCACTAGGCTGCCTCCTGCCCCCAAGGACCCAGGGCTCCTCTACCTCAGCACCTGGGAGGAAGGCTCAGGGAAGCCTCTGTCTGAGAAGGAAGGTGACCAACAGTCTGGGAATCTCTCTTCCATTCTGTGGGCACCCCGAGGTCCCCCATGGCCCTTTCTAAAGGAAGAAGCAGCTGGGGGCAGGGACTGGAGGGCTCCTGTGCGGTGGAAGGAAGGAGCCCCAAGAGCCCCAGTCTGGGAACAAGGGTGCAGAAGAGGGGGGCTTCTGAGACAATGAGGAAGGAGATGCTTGTAAACAGAGTGGGGAGGAGCAGGATCAGGGCTTGGCCTCACTTCTCTTTTGCCAAGGGCCACTCGGGATGATGTCACACCCATGTTGGTAACGGCTGTTCAAGGCAAGGGCAGAGGGAGGCTTTCTGCTCAAATGATTTTCTGTCTAGTGCATTTCTTATGGAATCCCTAAGTACTGTTGGGAACTTCCTTTTTCACTGCAGACCTCCAGAACAAGACAACTCTCCCTGCAGGACGTGAAGAGGGTTCTTTTTCCAGTTACGGGCAGCCTCTGAGTTCCATTCTGGCTTCTCTCTGACTTGGGTCAGGTCTGAGAGAGCTTCCAGACACACCTCTAAAAGCAGGATGGAAATCCTTCTGCCACAGGGCTGGAAGACCCTCACAGCACCCACAGGACTCAAAAGCTGGCAGGGGACTTGGGCAAACGCAACCCCTTCCTTTTAGAGAGGAGGGGCCTGAGTCTGAGACATCTGGAATGACTGGCTCGAGGTCAAGGCAGTGAGCCAGAATTCCAATCTAGGCCCTCAGACATCGAGTCCAGCCTGTAATCTTGAGGTCGCTTCTTCTTACTCTCCTAACTCCCCCCAATATGCGCTTAACATGAGCAGGGGTTGGAAAAAGGCACCATCATCCCTGTACTAAAGCCTCCATTGGCCAGCTGGAACCCCAACCAACTAGACTCTCTTCCTGACCTTCAATTTTTAGAAGAAAGGTGTCTTACAAAGAGGCTTCTTATGCCAGGGAATGAGCCCAAGAAGACATTCTGGGACCTGCACACATTCAGCTCATTCTCCTTCTGCTCCATCTCCAGGCCTCAACAGCAGCCCTGGACGAACCCTCGGAACACTCACCGATGGTCCTGGAAAATCCTCCTAGACAGATTCTGGTGGTCTGCTAGGAAAGCCTATTCATGCTGTTACTTTAGAAAGCCTTTCCACAACAAAGGCAGAAAGGCCTTGAAGGGTCTTCCCAGCAAGGACAGAAACACTCGGTACCCTGCTGCTACCCAAGTACTTCCATTAGCCGACTGTTTCCCATGCGGCCAGTGACCAACCCTTCCCACTCCATCGGCCATGACTTGACTATTCCTGCCAGATTTGTTCCAGATGACTCAGGCCAGCGCTCAGGCCTGTGAACTCAGGACATTCTGCTTGTTTTCCTCCACCAACAAGCCAGTTTGTTATTGCTGAAACAAATTCCTTCATTGTGTCTCTGAAGTGTTTTGAAAAGCACCGAACGGTTGCTCATTTACGTGCCCTTTTTTTAGACAGATGTGACATGGCCTGAGAAAAAATCCAAACCATGTGAACAGTTTAGGGGGGAAAAATACCACCCCTGCCTCCCTCCTGCTCCAGACACTGCAGACAAGTCCTTTTGTATCACCCGCACCCTGTGATTAATGAGCCAGGGGTCTGCAACAACTCCTCTCCATGGCTAAATATTTTTTCAGCCTATCAGACTGTTAGTGCAAAGCGGGATAAATGACACGGGGCCCAGGGCTCCTGACCTTTAGGCTGTGATGCTCATCTAGGCTCCAGACACAGAGCACCTTCTCCGAGGAGCCTGACACCCCCTTGGCCCTTCCTGAGTCAAAGTCAAGGCTCATGACTGGCTCCTTGTGGCAAGAAAGCCGGCTCAGCATTCTCCTCTCAGAGACGTTCCACAGGATGACCGAGCCGTCCTCGTACCCAGCCAGGAGGAGCGGACCAGAGCCGGAGGGAGGCTGTGGGGAAACGAAAGAGTCAGTCACTTCTCCCTCTTCCTGAGAACCACCCATAGGAGGCAGGTGCTGTGTGACCCACCGGGCCAGGACGGGCTCAGAGATAGCACGCCTGCCCCAGGGGAGAGCCCTGCTCACTTGGGTTGGGAGGCCCAGCTCCAGGACCGGGCCACACAGTGGCCCAGGTTCCTCCTCTAAAGACAAGGGGGTCAAAATATCCCAAAAGGCAGGAAGTGAAGTCAGGACTGGGCCAGACCTGAGACACAGCCAGGAGAGGGCCGGCCCGCAGGGCACCCAAGGGGGAGGACCCAGAGAGGACATGCCCAGCAGGCTCTCAGGAGGGGTCTCGCCCTGTGAGATCACTCAGACTGCCAATGAGCAATCTCAGCTAGGTGACTGCCATTTCAGTGCAGCTTTCTTCACACGCAACCCTGGGAAGTCCAGTCGCAGAAGGATGACGCCCTTTTACAGATGGGGAAACTGAGGCTGGATCAGCCGATCAACAAGCCCTTAGACTCAGCCTCTACGAGCACCAAACCATCCCTGCCCTGGCGGAGCCCAAGGCGAAGGTGCGGCCAGAACCAACCAGAGCAGTCCTCGGATGCTGCGTCGGGGGCTCCTGCTCGACTCCCCGCCCCCAACATTGAGACCCCTTGCGTCTGCCCAGCACTTTCACATTCCTGAGAGTCACTGTCAACTCTCAGATTCTCCTGCTGACACAAACCCCCCTAACCTGGAACCTCCACATCTGGCACAGGGCTCCGCGCCTCCACTCCTCCTAGCCACTGCGGTATTTTTCTGCCCATTTATCTCGCTGCTCTGCTTGCCTACCTGTTTAATCTCGCCGGCTGAGAAAAGTCACCAGCTTTACCCTGGTGAAAAATGAAATTTCTGGGCTTTGTCAGCCTCCTTGCTGAAATCCCCCTCCCCCTCCCAGAGAAACGGCTTCGTTCCCCAAGAGTTAACTGGTTTGGAACCCTGCTGCAGCCAATCTCAAGCGATTTTGATGAATGAGGTCACAGGTCAGAGGGCTTGGCACCCTGGGCAGACACCTCATTTATTTAAGCCTCTGAAATAACTCCATGAGAAGAACGTTACTGGATTACATGTCACCCAGAGAAAAATATTCATCATTCCCCTGGCAAAAAGAGTGACGAATCCGCCCTTGGTAACCGGTCACGGGAGCCAGCTCTGGGCGGACGCTCACTTGTGGCTATGGGCACGAGGAAAATGCAGGGGAGCCAGCCCAGGGTCTGCGGCCAGCGGACAGACCCCGGCCCAGCACACGCCTTCTGATGTAGCTCTCTTTTCCCAGGACACAGCTGCTCATACCGGGCCTGATTTTAAGAAAAGTCTGTCCAGGGTTTTACAGAAAGAGGGATCTGCCATCAGGCGGGGCTTCTTCTGAATGCCCAGCATTCACGGCATGGCTCTGGACTCTATTCTCAACTGACCCCAGCCTGGTTCTAACTTGCGGGGAGTGAAGAAGGAGAAGGGCACGATCTGGCGAGATGTTCCCAGTTCTGGGTCGGCAACGGCTCGGGGGCAGGAGGCAAAGGCATGCCAGCACCCTCCAAAGCCAGACCCTGGACTGCTGTTTTCTACCTGCCGCCGACCCAGTCAAAAAAGGACTGCTTTGCTTTATATTAGGGCTGGATGCTTGGGCACAGTGAACAGTGGAAGGGAATGATCAAAAGAAAGCAGACACGTGTCCCCACCCCCAGCCCCGCCCCATTTAAACAGCATCTTGAATCCATAATGCCTCCCTAACGTGCGCCGATCCTTCATCATCTGTAACGTGCCAAATATGAATGAATACTCAAGTCAACCCCTCAACCCTGGCTGCGCCCGTGTCCTCCCCAGCCCAATGGGGAGAAGCAGATGAGCTCTGGAGGACAGGAGGGTCACTGAAGCTGGGGTTACGATCACTGTCTGCCTAGGAAAGACTGGGAGCACCCTGAAGGCAGGGGCGGCCCCCGCACTGCCGCATGCCTCTGCTGGGCCTTAAACCAGTACTGCCAGGATGCCATCAGACCCTCCACACACAAAGCTCACAGCCCTCCAAGCTGGAGGGGAAGATGTGGGCGAGTCTCACGGCCACTCTGACGGCCACCTCTCTGGCCCGGTCCCATCCTGGCAGCTGTGCTAGCCCGGGGTTAGCTCCAGACCCCAGTGAGACAGTCAGGGAAGCCTTGGGGACATGAGTCTTTCTGCACCTATCCAGGCCAAGGGTGGGCACATCAGGCTTCCGCCTTCCCCAGGACCTGCCCGAGGCTTGTGTTCATCTGCTACGAGTCGGGAGGAGCCAGGTTCCTCAAGGCCGTCAGCAGAGGACCCGCATCAGGAGCACTCTCTGCCCGCTGAGCCGCCCCATCCGTGTCAGCAGGCTTAGACCGTAAGCGCCCTGAAGGCAGGGAACACACTTGGCGGCTGGCTTCACACCACGAGTCACCGAAGTAAGAACAGCGGGTTACATCCGCGTTGTCCCTGAGCATCACCACATGGTTCTATCTGCTGGCTCACTGGGGATTCACAACACAGTGAGGTGGGTAGTACAGGGACGATCTTCTCCATTCTGTGCTCAGAGAGATCGGGTGATGTGCGCAAGGTCCACAATTATTAAACATCGGAACCAGAGCACCAGAGAACGCGGGCTTGGTAACGAGCGCGTTACGGTCCACGAAGAAGGGCGGCTGGACCCATGACGCGTTGGCCAAGGCTTCACCGAGCTTAGCACAGTGTTAGGCACTATGGGGGGAGGTTCAATAAAGAAGACCATCCGATCTCTGCTCCTCAGGACGCGATAACAAAGCCCCCGCAGGAAACCAAGTGGCAACAAAGGCAACTGCAAGGCCTGGCACACAGCAGGCTCTTCTTAAAAGGAGAAGCGACTTTTATACAGAGTCTGAGCAAACAGAGCAGTAGCTGAACATCTCTCGGGGAATGTCACTCCTTGCCGATAGCTAAAGGTGTCAGAATGCCTTCCCCGGACACGACCTCCCCTCTTGATCCTGTGATCCTGCCATGCTGTCCTTCTCTGCTACATACGCACACACAACACCCCCCACACACACCCCCACTCACACATGTACGCACTCACGCGCACACCCACTCTCACATGTGCACATACGCACACACATCCACACACACTCACACGTGCACACCCTTGCACACACGTACTCACACACTATCTCTCTGTCCCCCAAGCCTGGGTGCTCTCCCTTCGCTGCACTTCCCAGCATCCTTCTCTTCCTCCAGATGCGGCAGAGGCACCGTCCTCACGCAGCCTTTCTTGGCCCTTTCAGTTCCCAAACCGAGCAGTGAGCCGCGGCGTTTGGGTTTATCCTCCCCACATGTCTGTGGTGTAGCTTTTACACTGGGGCTTGTTATCTTGTTTAGAATATAAGCTGTCTGCAAGCGCCTGTTGATCAATGAAGTCTGGTCCAACAGAAGAATCAGCCAGGCCCTGCGCTCGAGGAGCTCACATTCTAACGGGGGAGGCTCCAGCTGCAGGTCGGGGGAATGATCCAGTGGTTCTTAGGGGAGCGGCAATAAAGCCGAAACTGGACCTCTTCCTGCATGGAGCTTCCACTGATAAAATCGTCGCAGCTTCTGATGTCGACCCACTGGATGGGGCCAAGGACTGCAGCCATGAGAACTTTCTTCTCTGGGTTTTTGGGAGAGGCGGCTGCAGCCCTGCGGGAGCAGGTCCAGGGAGCCTCTCCACTGGGATTGTTTCCCGGGATGATGGCAGAGGTCTTGGCTGGAAGCACAGCTATTCCAAAGGTTTTTGGACTCGGGGTCCTAGGCTGCCTCCACCAGGCTTTAAGGGAAGACGACAGTCAAGGTGGTGGTAATGGTCTGACTTGGTTTGGTGGGCTTCCCCAGTCGTCCCTGGGTGACGCTTGTGGAAGACCGTAAGGCCCACAGCAATGGAAAGGACAAACGCAGATGTCCTGCGGGGGAGCTGTGGGGACAAGTCACGGCAGCATCCCGCGTGCCGTCCTCCTCCTCACAGCGATGGTGGCCGTGCTTTCTTTTACACCTAAGAACAAAGACTGGACTGGTGGCGTCTCCTCAGGCAGTCAGACAAAAAGCGAGGACTCCAGAATTACTCTGAATTCACGGATGAGAGTTATCAATGATCCATACAGTTCTCTAACATTCCTGAAGCAAAGATTCCTAAATCCTTCCTTCAGAGACTTGGACATAGTGGGCCTTTACATATATGGGTAAAAAAACAGAAAGACATTACAGCTAGTTTCTTTGAAGGAAAACTCTTCAAATCAAGGCCTCCTTTGATGGCATAATCCAGCTCTTTGCTGGCCTGCCCAGGCCGGCATCCGTGCCAAATTAGATGTGTCTCAGCACCTCATTTGTCACTTTGCAGCTGGAGTTCTCAGGTACCTGGTTTTTCTTGCATTTAGTGAACGAGCTTCTTGAAGGAGAAACTCTTCCAGCAGGTGAAGTCACTCTCTCCACAAAACAGCAAGGCGGCCTCTGAGATCCTGCCACTTCTGGCACTCGGGTCCTCTGATTTTAGGAATTGCTGCTGATTTCCTTGAACACTGAATCCTGCACAGTCTTCTCTCGGGCTTCAGTTTTTCTAAGCTATTTTTGTAGATCGTATTTTGTAACCAGGTAAGTCTTATGTCTCCACCTTTCTTTCAAAACCTGGAGGTTTAGGCCCACTGTAACTGTAAGTGAACACTACTTTGAGAAGGATTCAGTAGTTTTCTTCTCAATCACCCCAATTTTGGTAGCTGAGATGTACAGAGAAAGCAATGATCCTCATACCTTCTCTGCTGGACCATGCTGAAGAGAGCCTGGCTCTCCAGAGGGAAAAGACTTCAGGAGATCCACAGTACTACAGTCTGGGGGTCTTAGAAGCAGGCCACTTTTTCAGACAAGAGGATGCTTCTGGGCCAACTTCTCTCCTCTGGCTCAGTCCTTCTGTCAGCTAAGTCAGTTCCCCTTAACAATGAAGATCCATTTTCTACACAGTTCTGGTTGAATTTTTACCTGCTTATGCAATTTGCAACTTTCCCTGGGGGTGAATATGAATGAGAAAACTTCAAATCATGGAAATGTTGCCCTCGAGGAGGTGAGACTCCCAGCAGCCTGCATTCTGAGGCCCCCCCACCCCCGACTCGTGGAAGACAGAATTGCTTTCTCACCATCACTCAGGGCCTGGCTTTGAGACATCCAGATCAATGACACATTCTTTTCAGTCACAAGACTGCTGATGCCAGGCTTTTAATTCTCAAAGGGAAAGGGTACCCTGAAAGCCACGACCTCCATCAGCCCGGCTTCCTCCACTAGGGCTTCTTTCCGAAGTCAGTGACACCAAGAACGGCTTTATTCTCGGTGGGAGTCCTTTAGAGGGAGAAAAAGCATGGCCAAGTCCTGCCGGGTGCCATTTCTGCTCATCCACAGTGGCAGTGTTAATGTTCATGGCTCAGGGACCACAGGGATGGCAGAGGGGGAAAGACCCATGAAGAGGCACCTTTGTTCCAGAAGGCGGAATCCCTTCTGGAAAGAGGCAGAGAGTCCTGGAGCACAGTTGGCGGGTCTCCATTTTGCCAAGAGAAGGACATTCTCCAGTCACGTGCAAACCCATTCTTTTTCCTTGCTAAGCCCAAGAGGAGCTGATCTGTCTGGTTCATGATGACAGCCTCCTTCCCACCAGATCTTCATCTGGATGCCTGCCGACAAACTCCATTAACCCGGGTTAGGAGACAATGATCCCTACCACGGTGATAGAGATGCTCGAGGTGAGGAGCCTGTGGACCAGCCAGGGCACAGGTGCCCAGTTGGGGCTGAGAGCAGCACTCGAAAGCTCTGCCTGGCTGCCCCAGGCTTCTTCTGGGGTCCTCTACAGTGGAACAGTAGAAAGGAGCAGGTGAACGATCATCTGTACATTCTTAGTACTGGTGCCCTGTACAATTTGCTTTGCCACACCAGAACTGGTCAGGGGTGGAAATGAACAGAGATAACAGCATTCTTCAGTTAATTCTTTTCCAGAGGTGAAGCGATGGGAAAATGCAGGAGGATAACCCAGCCCGGCCAGCCCAGGGTACAGAGTTCTTTAGCAGAAGTGGGGTGAAAGGAGCTGGTTGCCCAGACACACCCCCTACAGGGACCAAAGACAAGGGGTCCCGGGTTTTTAACATTCTTAGCACCCCCTTCTACCCCTTAGACCCAGCTGAGGTGGTCACACTCCTCAATGGACTGTATAGAAATGCAGCCTGGGCTCTCCTGCCCATAAGCAGGGCAAAGAAAACCCTTGTTTTGGAGGGCTTCCCCATGAAGGCCTTTGTTAAATCCACCCAGGCACAGACACTGGCCCTGGTCCTGGCTCTTGGGGACCCGGTAACCCAGCTCATGTCCTAGGGTTTTACTGCAAAGGGTGAAGGGGCTGGTGGGAGAAAAGGAAGCTAGTGCAGACAGCTTTATCAAGAAGTCTGGCTGAAAAAAGGAGGAAAGATACAGGATATATTGGGACAAGGTGACGGTAGTAGGACCTAGCAAGGGTTTTTTAAGAATGGGGGAGATGTGGCCATTTTTGAAGGGAGTAGGAGGAATGAGGGAAATGCTGGAAGATGAGAAGGGGGGGGAGGAAGGAGGAGAAGGAAGAAGAGGGGGAGGGGGAGGAGGAGAAAGGGGAGGAGGAGAGAAGAAGAAGGAGAGGAGGAGGAGGAGAAGAAGAAGGAGAAGAAGAAGGAGAAGAGGAGGGGGAGGGGAGGGGGGAGGAGAAGAAGAAATGATTGAGAAGATGAGATGGGACCAAGTGGACAAGTAGAGGGGTTGGCCTTGGCAAGGAGAAGGGTGTCCTATTCACCAGAGACTGCAGGAAAGGAGGAGAGAGCGGGAGAGAATGTCAAAGGATTCTTAGGTAAAGAGGACGGGAGAAGAAAGCTGTTGTTCATTAAGGGGCCTTCGTGTTCCCAGAAAAGTCAGGGGCGAGGCCTTCAGCCGGTGGAGGGGAAGTCACGAGAGGTCTGTGGAGGGAAGACAAGGTCTGGAACGGCTTCTCTGGGGAGCCAGACAGGGAAGGACCAGGCTGTCTGCAGCGAGCCGGGCTGAGGCTGGATAAGAGGAGTCCTGCCGAGTGCCCAGGCCTCCCTAGCTCAGGAGCAGGGCCGGAGGAGGGGGAGGGGGTGGAATCGAGGGCCAGCTCCAGGCTGGCAGGCTGGTCAGAGCAGAACATTAGGTCTACACATGAGATACTTGTGGAATCCGAGGCCTTGGCCCTGCCTTGTTCCCATGAGGTGTTTCTGCCATTCTGCCCCAGGCAATCCCATGACATTTCCATAGCTGAGATGGAAAGACCTGGGCTGCATGCTGGTACAGCTCTGTGGCACCTGACGTAGCTGAACAACCATACTCCGGAGCTGAATGATGGATTCATCAACTCGGAGGGAGGTCTCTAGGGAGATACCACAGGGCTCTTTCTCTCCTTGGCCCTACTTTATACTCTATTAGTACTGAAGACTTGGCTGAAGGCAAACACGAAGGCAGCCAATTCTCCGGATCGACGGCAGAACTGTGATCCAAGCTGCGACAGGAGTGAACGATGGGATCAGACTCAGTGAGGAGGACCCTAAAGTGAGTGTGGAGACCTGGCACAAACATCTTTTGTTGATCAGGATCTCCGCAGAACTCCAGAGTGAGACATAACTGCCAGAGACCTAACCGGCCCGAGCTTTGGCTGCCCCAAGGGGAGGAGGTGACTGTCACACTGACCACGGCCACTAGCGGGACAAGCCTGGGCTCTGGGGGCCACAAGGAAGGAGACACAAGGAAAACGCAGACCAGCACCTCGTTGGCATTTGCTAAAGATGTTTCACTTTTAAAGGAAGAGACGGCATGGGGACTCATCTTGAAATACTGGGGGCGGCTGTGCAGAGGAGCTCCGAGAGGACAGAAATTCAGCTTGAAATAAAAAGGAGCTTCAGAAAGAAGGGAAACCATCCTGGATGGCACAGACTGCCCAGCATGCTAGTGAGCATCCTGTAACTGAAGGGATGTAAGGAGAAGGTGGAAGGCTACTTCCTGGTGACAGACTAAAGGGGGTGCATGCCTTCTGAGGTTCTGGGCCACCTCTAGTCCCACCTTCAAAAACGTGGATGTGAGGAGATGTGACGTGAGCTATGGTTATTAGGATAAGAGAGAGGAGCGCCTCCCTCAGCACCAAGCTTAGCAGAGCGTGTGCGGCACTGAGGCTGAAGACCATTACCTAACCAGAAGGCCCAAGTGGATCTGGAGGGAAGACCGACGTGTCAGCCCTGTGCTCCTGGACCGGAGAAAAACAACAAAAATGCACCCTCAAAAAGCCACGAGGCAGACGTTCTCAGCAACCACTCAGCACACCTCAACTGAAAAGAGGCTCTCGTCCGTGTGCAGAGGACCCTTCCTCCCAGCCCACAGTCCATCCTGACTCACAGCCTAAGGGAGGTCATTCAGGCGGCAGGAGCCCTGGGAATCCCCCCACCCCCCAGAGGCGCCCTCTGGAGCCCCAGCCCATTGACTGACAGCTTGGCTTGGGATCCTCTGTTGATGGCCAAAGCAAAGCGGGTCCCCACCCAGCCCGGGGCTACAGAACCTCCCCGGTTGTTTACGATACATCATGTGCCTTCCAATAAAGCGAAGGGAGTGATCCCGGGGATCTGACGGGGATCTGGCTGAGGCGTTGGGCGCATGTCCTCTGAAGGGGATGATGCCTCGGTGGGCTTGCTAAGGAATCAAGGCCCGAACGGAGCCTGGCTCCGCGCAGCCTCTGCCCAGGACTGACTCAGAGGCAAGGGTTTCACAATGAGAGAGTGTGGTTGTGTTTCTTACCTTCCACAGCTCCAGGCACATGGGCATGCCCGCTTTGGCACCGGCCTCTGGCTTCAAGGTACAGACTGACGTCTTGGACGGCATGTCCAAAACCTGAACCTGACAGTGAGAAAACAAGCTGATTTGGGCGGGCTCCAAGGCACAGTCTTTGCTGTACAAATAAGAGACTTTTTAAGGTGATTAGCAAATGTTGGTGCAGGCTCCTTTTTATTCACTGGAAAGGAAGCCTGGAAGTGAGTCTTTTAATGAGGCCTAACTAGGCTGTCGGGGCCTCGCAGAACTCGGGCACTGCTTTGTAAGTGACCCGTAAGTCACTGTCTTTGGCCGGGCCTAACAGCTCGGCACTGCCCCAGCCTCTGTGAGCACCCAGGCATGTCTCACTTTCTCAGCTCTGGGCCGGGCCTCTGGCTCTCCCTTCCCAGCTTCCAACAGACTGCCTTCGGGGCGCCACAACACAGATGGATGGCCTCTTCACCCAGTGATCGGCAGGAAAATGGGGAGGCAGCAAGGTCCCCATGCATCCAGCTTGTTCCTTACCAGAGGTTCTGGTAAGAAGGGGAGCTGGTTCAGTACCGTGTGCAAGGCCAGAGTCCTCGTCACTCCGCCTACGGCTAGACTGAGCTGGCACCAAATGCCTGGATTAGGACCTTCTGCTTCAAATAGTGAGGCTTCTCATAGGTAAGATTAATGGAGTCAATTCTCCTCCCCTCAGTTATGTATTTTTCAGTGAAAATAAGTTGTTGTTCTTTTAAAAAACAAACAAACCCAGTTAAGCATGTGTGTCTGTGCGTGTATGTTATACATACACCCAGTGTTTAAGTCTGACTGTATATAGCCAGTTAACTAGCTAGCCAACCTGAACCCCCGGATCTTGGGCTTGGAAGGGACCTGGAACGCCGCCTATTACAACCTGGAGCTGGGCCAGCGTCGGTCCCCTCCACACACGCCCCCAAAGTGGCCAGGCAGTCTCGGCTGGAGACGTGGGGAAGGGGAACCAGAGGCCGCCCCTCCGCACGTTCTTTGCGTCCAGCCTAGACTGGCCGCCGTCTGGCCACTGCTTCTGGTTCTGCCCTGTGGGGTCAAGCAGCCCAAGCCGCCTCCCTTTCCTATCTCTACAACAGCTGGTCAAATACTAGAGGAATGCTATCAGCCCTCCAAGTTTCTTTTTCAGGCTTCGCCAACGAATCCTCCAACAGCATCAACCTGAGGTCTTCCACCATTCTGATTACCCTGCCCTAGATGAAGACCTGAGATCAATTTGGCCTCAGAAACTTGCTGGCTGGGTGACCCTTCACTGCCGCCTGACTCAGTTTCCTCATCTGTCAAATGGAGGAGACGATAACAGTGCTTACTTTCCAGGGTGGTTGCGAAGGAAAAAACGAGTTAATATTTGTAAAGTGCTCTGCAAACCCTAAAATGCCCCACAAATGCTCACTACTTGAGGCTGCCTCTTGATAAACACCAGAAAGAACCATAGAGGCAGAATCAGAGAACTTGGTTTCAACTCCTGCCCACCCTGCTTTCACCTCTCTGGGCCTCAGTCTCTTCCTCTGTAAAATGGCAGGGCCAGACTGGCTGGTCTCTCAGTCCCCTCCAGCCCTCAGTCTGGACTCTCTAGGTCCTTCTTAAAATGTGGCTCCCAAAGAACACAGGACTCCAGACGTGGCCTCGCCTCTTGCTTTGCGTCTGTTCACATGAGCCTTCTGGGTTTATCTGAAACCATCCCTTCGGTCGTCTCCTTTGCTACAAGTCCTCCATCACATTGGTCTGCCTCCATTTGGCTGAGGGGGACCTTCCTAAGGTTACTGGTTCCTTGTCACCACAAAAACAGGTGCTACAAACCTTGTCCATATGGGTCCTTCTCCTCTTTCTGTCTCTAGGAGTGACATCACTGAGGGCGCACAGTGTAGGTACCTACTGGACATGGTTCCAAGTTGCTTTCCAGAATGGCTGGACCAGTTCACAGCTCCACCAACAAGGCATAAGTGTACCTGTTTTTCCACAGCCCCTCTAGCATTTGTCACTTTCCTTTTTTGTCAACTTTGCCAATCTAATGGGTGTGAAATTGAAACTTAAAATTGCATTAATTAGCATTTCTCTAATTATTAGTGATTTGAGGCATTTTTCCCCCAGGGGAAGCTAGGTGGCAAAGTGGTTAGAGCACTGGACCCAGAGTCAAATCTGACCTCACACACTTCCTGGCTATGTGAACAGTCACTGAACCTCTGTTTTCCTCAGTTTCCTCAACTGTAAAATGGGGATAATAATAGTACCTACCTCTCAGGGTTGTTGTAAGGATTAAATGTGATAATTGTAAAGTGCTTAACACAGTGCCTGGCTCATAGCAGGTACTACATAAATGTTAGCTGCTGCTGCTGCTGCTACTAATGCTGTCACATGGCTATAGAGAGCTTGGATTTCTTCCTCAGAAGAATAAGCCTAGTCATATTTTTGACCATTTAGCTGTTGTGAAATAGCTCTTACTCTTATAAATCTGAATCAGTTCTTTCTTAATATGTCTTAGAAATAAGATCCTTATTAGAGAAACTTGCTACAAAGATTTTGTTCCCAGTTGCCTGCTCCCTTTCCAATTTCAGCTGCACTGGTTTTATCTGCACAAAACTTTAAAAATTTTAGATAATTAAAATGGCCCATTTTATCTTGTGCAATCTTCTCTATCCGTTGTTTGGTTATGAACTGTTTCCCTATCCATAGATCTGAAAGATAATTTCCTCTCTGCTCCTCTAATTTGCTTATGATGTCACCCTTTATATTTAAGTCATGTATCCATTATTTTGGTGTGACCCATGGTTCTTAAAGCACATGCCAGAAAATACAGGCTCTGGCAGGTCCTAAGAAACTGGAAAGGCTTCAACTATTGGCTCGGAAATGGTTAGGGTACCTGTCATGAGGACCAGCCTAGTATGGAGACGTTTATCACTAGGCTGGCTACAGAAACTCCTGAAGACATGGAGGGCCTGCCCCCACTGAGGACACCTCAGCTATCTTGAAGAACTAAAGAAATATAGTAACAATGTGACCCTATTGTTTTAAACCTATGGCTTCCCCTTCCTCCTCAAACCTGGCTGGTATAAAACCTGAGTTCAGGCTGCAAAGGAAGGCTATTTTTCAGTGTACCTTTTGTGCATGTGTACACAGACATGACACATATTGGGATTACACATCTAACATCCTTTAACATGCTAGCTCTGGAGGCTGACTCGGAATATCTACAGGATCACAGAATGGGAGAGTTAAAGAAAGCCCCAGTGGCCATCCAGGCCAGCCCATGCATGAAGGTCCTGCCTCTAACACACCTGACAAGTGGTCGTCCAGCCTTTGCCTGAAGACTCCCAACGGGGAGGAATCCGCCCCCTCACCTGAGGCAGCCCCTTCCACTTTGGGATGGCTCCTCTTGTTAGGAGCCTGAATGGGCCTCTTGGCAGCTTCTTCCCACCGCTCCTGGTTCTGCCCTCTGGGGCCACGCTGAACAAGCCTGGGCTCTCCTCTCCAGGACAGCCTTGCATTCCAAACTCTGCGCTATCACTCTGCAACACGCCCCTCTCCTCTTCTGGGTTCACACTACCCAAATCTGTCACCCAATCCAGACCACTGCGGCAGCCTATGGACCCCATCTTGGAATGTTTTTAAATGCATAAAATGAAATGCAAGGAATTACAAAGGAAATAAATTCTATAGAACTGCAGTTATGAAAAAAAAATAGTTCACAGACCCTGGGGTTAAGAAGCCCTGCCCATGTATCCCTTACTGCATCCCCTCTTGTCTGCCCCCACCCTCTAGCTTCTATCAACATGATCATCTCTATGCAGACGATCTATGCACCCTGCCCAAATCTCTCCTGAGCTCCAGTCACAAACCAGCGATGGCCCACTGGACACTGAACTGCATGTTGTGTAGACACACGTCCAAAACAACCCAAGATATTTCCCCCAAAATTCTCTTCTCTTCTGAACATCCCAATTTCTGTCCAAGGTACTGCCATCTTCACAGTAAGGCAGGACTGTAACCTCTACCATCCTCAACTCCTTACCATCACCTGCCACACACCAATCAGTCATCAAATTGGTTCTTCTTCCCACAACACATCTCTTCCATTCCCCTTCTCTACACTCACACAGCCACTGCCTCAGGTCGAGGTCTCATCCCCTCTGGCTTCTCGGTTGGCCTCGCCACCTCAAGTCTCTACCCACTCCAATCCCTCCTCCACATAGCTGCCAAAATGATCTTCCCAAAGCACAGGTCTACCCCTGTCATCTCCTACTCAGTGAAGTCCAGAGTCTCCCTATCACCTCCCAGATCAAATATAAACTGCTCTCTGGCATTTAAAGCTGTTCATGGCCTGGCCCTCTATCGTCTTATTAGACACGTGACACATTACCCCCCTTCACATACTCCACGGTCCAGTCAAACTAGCCTCAGCTCTTCATCACACAGGCCACTCCATCGTTTGTCTCTCTGCCTTGGAGCTAGCTGTCAGCCACGCCTGGGATGCTGACCCTCGGCATGGCTACCTCCTGGAACCCCAGTTTCTTTCCAAACTCAGCTTAAGCATGACCTTCTGAATGACACTTTTCCTGGTAGCCCCTCATCCTTCTCTCTGCTGCGACAATGTACCAAGGCCTTTTCTCTCCAAAGTACTTTGTATCTAATTTATATTTGTGGTGGCCTATATGCAGAATGTTATGGTACATTTAAATAGGTCAGAGATTTAGGATAAGATTTGCTACTTGCTAATAAGATATACAAAACAAATAATTGGCAGGGGGAGGCGCCAGAACTGAGGGGAGTCAGCAAAGACTTCTTGTGGAAGGTGAGATTTTTCAGTGGGATGTGAAGGAAGCCTGGGAGGTCAGGAGATGAACATGAGAAGGGAGAAAATTCTAGGCGTAGGGGACAGACAAGTGAACGTGCCCACACAGAATATTTTGTATGAGGAACAGCCAAGAGGCCAGTGTCTATACGGGGGTTAGTTGTAAGAAGGTCAGAAAGGTCACAGCAAAGCTGTGAAGGGTTTGAACTCAACAAATATTGGATCCTGGAGGTGACAGAGAACCACTGGAGTTGATAGGGGAGGGGGC